GCAGATTTTTAGTTATGTTTGTAAATAGTTTTGGTCAAAATAATAGTACAATTTATAATAATTGTTATTATTAATAATTATGAGGTACTAAAGATGTTTGATTTAATTATTTTATTTATTCTTTTCCATCCTAGAGATCCCTAGTTAAACTTCTAGATTTATTAGCACTTCTAAGGTTTTCTGTAATATTTTTTGTACATGAATTCAAGGCACACTTTTTGTCCATCATCACTATTGACCGTAAGATACACCTCCTTGCTCTATACACAGGTTTGCTACCCATGTCCCTAAATACAGGTTAACCACGTCTTGAACTGGGTGAAGCAGGTAGGTTACTAGCTAGACATTAGACAACATAATAGCTGACTAGGTGYTGACGAGGCGCCGTGCATAAAGCAGTCAATTGTGAAAATGAAGACAATAGTTTTACACAGTTGACTGAGCTTTATGCACGATGCCTTGTCTTGATTCTTTTGTGTTTGACTACTGAGGCGAAATTCGCAAATYGGCTATTACATTTAATAGTTAGAAGTTATGTTCATGTGAACTACAGTACTATTATAATCAGCTCTACTTGTAGATCATTTTTTGGATGAATTATTATAAATATTGCCACATATTTTAGATGTGTTTTTCCATGTCACAGCTAATGTCATGATAATAATATTAATTCAAGTGATTTCCACGTGAAGCTCTGTAACTGTCTTTAATCTATAATTGGTCTCTTAGTTCCACATTCACAACAAAACTTTGCATGTTCGACTGGATATTTTGTGCCACATTCGTAACAGAATTTGGAGAGTCTTTTTATCCTGTCTCCTGTGTCTACTCTGTCCATGGGTCTGTGTACCTGTGCTTTTGATGGAAAGGGACTAGATTTATTTCTTGTTCGAGACTTTGTGCCAGTACTTTGCTCGTAGTCGTCAAACAACGTTGGACTTGGGTCTCTRATGGTAATATTTCTTTAAAAAGATGACAACAAAATGTTTTATTATATAGATGATTTCTAACGAGCGCTCTGATTGGCCAAAAAAGTGTGGTTTATGARAGTATAAACCACGATTGTGCGCAAGCGATTTTTGAAAAAGGCAAAAATATGGATTTTTGCTTAAGTTTTGCTCAAAATCTATATAATAAAACAAATAAGTCTCAGCCTGTGGTTTATACTCTGATAAACGCACGCTTGGCATTTGAAACACACTCACAAATGTCCAAAAGCTCGTGCTTCTTGACATTTTCTTGTGTGTTTCAAATGCCAAGTGTGCGTTYATCAGAGTATAAACCACGACTGAGCCTTATTTATTTGTTAAATAATATTAAATACCATTCATGAGTTATGAAATTCTAAAAAAATATTATGAACTTTATGAATGTGCATGTAGAATAGTGAAGATAAAATATTCACAAAGCGTGTGCAAGATAAATACACTAAAAATATACTGATAGAGTGGATAAAATGAATCTTTGAACTAAAAGAGTTCATTCAGGTGATAACTTATGCTAATTCCTCTGTTTTGCAGTGTCAATAATCTCAACTTTTTATTGCTAATTAGCACTTATAAACTATTGTTTTATGTTGATTGGTTTAAGTTGAGTTAGAATTTTTAACAGTAATTAGTGCAAAGACAGTGTTGAATAGAGTGCAAACACTAAAACCATAAAAAAACTTTTATAGTAATTATTATTAAATTATAAAAGTTGTAAATTGTCATGAATATTAATGCAATTTAATCTTTTGTTTACAATTATTAAGTTGCATTTTTTTGGCACTATTTGATAGTATTTTTCACTCTTGTATAGTGTTTCACTGACTACACAACACATTTATAACAAATATTAACCTTCTTTGATG